GATCAGGTAAGTTGAGCATCAATTTTTTTACTTCGTATTGTAATCCATAAAGAAATTGACTGATGAGTGCAGCATCATCCCACTTGATGTCAATTGCAAGTTGTCGAAATTGTGAAGCATACACTGTTAGTGAGCAATTTCTTCATCGCAGAATTTGGATCTTATTTGTTGCAACATGAGTTGCATCGTGTTTACCATACATAGATCGAAACTACACCAAAAATGCTTCCAAATTGTCCAATATTGGACTTTGTTGTTCAAGAAAAGACGAAAACTACGATAATGCAGAACCAGAAAATAGAGTGCCAATAAACCTGACTTGTGATCCTGGAGTTGGATAGCTTTGCGGTTGAAGTTCAATTGCCAATTGTACTTGATTGATGAACCCTCAAAACTTTGATCTCGTACCATCAAATTTCTCGGGTAAGGCAATTCTTGGTTCTCTCGTGCTTACAGGGTGTTGTACAATTAGAGAAGGAACGTGATTTGTTGCAGATGTTGAAGCAGCTTCGATCATCTCTATATCCCCACTTTTTGCTATTCTTGTTCTTTCCTGTGTTGGTGAATTGAGTTGATGTATTGCAAGCATTAACTCCTTCATTTGCTCTTGCATTTGTGCCATTGCACTCTTCATTTCAACAAGCTCTGCCATAATGACACTAAGAAGAAAAATTTGTTTGATACTGCTCAAGACAAAAGAAAAAGAAAGGACTTGGTAACAAAGAACATACTAAGAACAATATCAGTTTAGAAGTGGATAATCCGCAAACTTCTAATACGCTTATGTCTTGTCAAGAGAAAGGGGTAATCCACTCTCACTCAAGAAAAACAAAGCTCTGATATTGTAAGTGTACTCTTGTCAATCTGTCAAGGACAAAGACTCGATGAGGGAAAATATACACAAAAAGGCTATCTCGATATAATAAGTCAAAATATAAACAAGTAGGTATATTAAAAAGGAAACTGGAATGGCTATTGCCACAAGACAAGAAACTAAAGACTCTTGAACCTGAACTAGGAGCAAGAAAGGAGTTGACAAGAGTGAAGAAGCCTTCACTCTTGTCTCTATATATACTATCTAACTAGGAGCTACGTGGCGACGTTTTATAGGACCTCCAATATGTGTAGACTTTGTAGGACACATGCCTTGACTTACAAGGCAAGTTTTTCTATCTGTGGGCCACATAGTTAGCTTGATCTTCAAGCTAACAACATGTGTGGTACATGGCCAACTTGTTGACCACGTTTCTAATCCAAAAAGTCAATTAAAGACACCTATGAAGTCAAATCAGTGTCTAGGAAGTTTCTAGGAAGCTTCTATATTAAATATTATAGAATTAACTTACTTTTATCTACTTTTACTTACTTCTATCTATTTCTATATGTAATTATTAGCTTACATGATTATGGCCGTGACAATATGTCTCTATGAAAAAAGTTAATGAACCAATAAATAAGAAAGAGAAAATGAAAAAAAATGTATCAAATCAAAAACAAGATTCGATATAAGACTTAAATAAAATATAAAAAATAAAAAACAAAATATTCTTAGATTATTATAGAATTTGCAGTGGCATAATTAAGATACCTTGTTTTACCTTCTTATTAATACTATGCCAAATAAGTTATATTAAAGCTTCTAAGAAACGTTCTAAATTATATATTAGTTTCTAATTTTTTTTATAAATCTTTTATAAAAACTTTAAAATATTATGCAAGATTTGAAAGGTTTTTAGGACCTTTATAGAAAATAAAAAATTTCAACAAGTCTTTGAGGTTGTAGTATGTTGTATATTTGTGACATCATTTTTTTTTTTTAAGAAAAAAATTAAGTATAGGAATTTTAGAATTAATTCATATGTATTCTTAAGAAATAATTTTTTAAAAAATAAATTCTTATGATGAGAGCTATCTTTTATTCTACACTCAATAAATAAATATTTATATTTTTAATAAAAACTATAAACTTAACTATTTTTAGATTAATAAACTAATTTTAATGACTAGAGTTTTTTTTTATAGAATATTAGATCTTTAGTATTGATTTTATTTTAATGCTTAAAAATATTAATTCATGGGCATTTATTACTTGATTAAGTAATTTACTCACAAAGTTTAATAACAAAAGAACATCAACAATACAAAATGTACAAGGTAGATATCATTTTTATTTATTTGTTTTTTAAAGCTTTTGTATTGCTAATATTTATGTTATGTAAATTAATATTGTTACTTATTGTTGTTTTTATATCTTTGAGCTTTACTATTGTCTACCTTGTAAAAAAAACTTATAGTAGTGATATATTGTTGGTTTGACATAAAGAGATGTCTACACAATATAATAAGGGTATCTATACAATAAAAAAGAGATGTCTGTTAGGAGTTTTCTAAATTTATTTTTTGGCTAAAATAATAATACCTTGCAGCAAAAATGATGTAATGTGTTTAAAGAATAAAACTACATGCAAGTTCTTAAAGTCCTTGAAGTAACCTGATTTTTTTGGATTTAAAAACATCATCTATTTTACCACTCATATATATATATATATATATATATATATTTAAACAAAAATTTTAACTATTTATATGATAGTTTTAAAATTTATTCATCCTTTGTATTATTTTTTTAACTACATGAATTTATACTTATGTACATATAGATTTATATATATATATAATTATTAGTATCTACTTATATTATATATAATTTCAAAGTCAAAATAAATTAATAATATAAATATAATAATTATTTTAATTCAATATTATATATATTTAAATATAAATATAAATATAATAATTATTTTAATTCAATATTATATATATTTAAATATAAATATAAATATATAAATCTAAATATATGAATTTATAATTATTACTCGTTTATTTTTTAAAAATCACTAAATTATAATTTTTAGAATTAATTTTTATTTTTGCTTTTTTGTAGGAAATATGGAATGTAAAAAAAATACTTACAGTGACAAACAAAACCGAGTACAAAATCTGAACACTCATAGTTCATTGATCCTTCTAATTGACACATAAGTCAATTGATAGAATTACTTTTTTATTGTGTGTATTCATCCAGTCTTCTATATGGATGAAAAATCTCATTATCATTTGAGGTAGGATTTATGAGAAAAGTGTTGTAGAAGCACACAGACGTGCGTACTCAGTTTTGGTTGCTTCTTCTTGCTGAATTTCGAAATTTCAATGTACACTCCTTGTTGCAAGATTTGAGGGCATTTTTTGTTTGTTGTATTGCTCTTGTTGTGTACTATCTATAGTGAAAGTTGATTTGTCAATTGTATCTCTATACCTCGGTTGTGTGAATCATTCAAGCACCAAGTATTGGTGCAGCTTAGGAGTGGTGTTTCTACAAGAAAAGTTGCAGACTCACTTGGAATGAGTCAGTCTTCAGTAGCTCATCTGAGGAGGGAGATTAATGGTGAAATAGAAAAGCAAAGAGGAGGACGTCCAAAGGTTTTAGGAGAGCAAGAGAAGCGACTTGGTTTGCACCTTGTCACTGCTGGTTGTCTCAAAACGACAAGTGCAGCTGCAAAACAACTTCGAGAAAAAAAAAGTAAACACTTCTCAGACATCACCTTGAGGCGTGGTTTGAGAGAAGCTGGTTTGGGTGCTTGTGTGCAACAAAAGAAGCCTCTACTTGCCAAAAGACATGTTCTTGTAAGGTTGAGTTTTGCTCATAAATACAAAAATTGGACCGTTGATGATTGGAGACGGGTTATTTTCAGTGATGAGACAAAGATTAACCTAATCAACTCAGATGGTAGGTCTTGGTGTTGGTTGAGAGAAGGAGAACGACCTGGACCTAAACATGTTAGTCAAACTGTCAAACATGGTGGTGGTTCAATTATGATTTGGGGTTGTATGACTGCTTTTGGACTGGGTGCTTGGTATCAAATTGAAGGTAGAATGGAATTGTACAAAAAAATTTTAGAAACCTACTTGCAAAGTACCACACAGAATTACAACTTATATCCTACTAAGGTGGTTTTTCAACATGATAATGATCCCAAACATACGGCAAAAAGTGTTCAGTTTTGGCTCTCTTCATAGCCATTTCAGCTCCTTCGATGGCCAGCTCAATCTCCAGATTTGAATCCAATGGAACATTTTTGGGCCCTTCTCAAACAGCGTTTAAGCCAAGTCACTCCAAGGCCAAGAGGTGTTCAAGAATTGTGGGAGAATGTTTGTAGTATTTACCCTAGTTTTGATGCAAAAGATTGTGAGAAATTATACAAAAGTATGCCAAGAAGGATTTCAGCTGTTTTGGAAGCAAAAGGTTATTGGACTAAATATTGAAGTTTGAAGATTTTCTTTGAACAATACTGAGTACATGACATAGTTGTTGATTTGACTTTGTAGAAGGATGTTTAGTTATCAATTTGATGTGCAACTTTGTACATGTGTACAAGACTGTGTGTATTATTCCATGTAACTTTCAGATTTATAAAGCAATCATTGAAATTTCTATAATTGCTCTTGAAAGTTGGCACTTTAGATTTTGTACTCGGTTTTGTTTGTCACTGTATTATGTCATGTAATTGAAATGGTTATTGAAGTAAAAATTCAAAGATATTTTCTTCCAATGTTTTTCTTTGTCTTTTATATATATATATATGTATATCATTATTATTAGTAATGCAAATTTTTTTCCAATGTTTTAAAATAAATTAGACTTATTGTTTTTTAGGATTCGCTTCAATCATGTTAATAAATTTTTAAACTTTTAATTTTTTTTATAATGATCATAATAATAAATCTTAATATAAATATGAATTTTATTTATTAATATAGTTTTAAAAAATATATTTTAAATATTCTTTGAATCTATAGACATTTTTAAAATTAATTTAATATAAATCTATATTTCAACTAAATAATATATTAATCTATATTTTTATAAAAATCTAAATTAAAGGATTAAAAATTATAGAAAAAATATATTTTGTTCAATACACCAATTACAAGAAGAGATCTTGGACGATACACAATTCGCATGAGTGATGATTTCATTAAGACTGGTGCACGTTGAACGCCAATGCAACTGACCTTCGGGGAAACTCTTTTACAGTCTCTACAACGCGATGTATATTTCTGAACGTTATCTTAAAAATATCAACTGTGTGACGCAAAATTGCTTAACCTAGGTATGGATTCTCCTCTTGTGTTTGTAAATAACGCAGTATTCCTCATCTTCAGAGAAGGTATCGAAGAGGCCATGTTGAAGAGACGGAGGTGGTTGATGAGCGTTGGTTGAAGAACAAAGTAAGAGTTCCTAAGCGTAACTCCAGATTTGCAGCTCAGATTAATGTGAAGGTCGAATCACAATTTCATCATAGATCAGGGAGTCAGTTTCTGTGTTGCCGCAGTTTCGTTCCATTTATGAACTACGCATCACGCACCTGAAAGGCTGACCTGGTCTTCACGACAATATCATACATGTGCGTGGTGCGTATGTTCCTAAAAAGTACGGGTAATGTGATGAGATCACACGTATCGTCACTACGGTGATATTGTCGAACGTACTTGTTTCTGAAGTATTCACGCCATCCAAGCCCAAATAGCTTGGCATCGAGCTGCTCAAGGTTCGAAATGTATTCATTGGTTGCACTGTACAGAAGGACCTTGAGCCCCATCGATGGGCCAGGAATAGATGTATCAGCCACCGGGTTCTCCTCCACACTGATTACTCCGTCCGATTGAAACTTCCACACTCCGGATCCTGACATAGTGTCGATTTGGCTTCTTTTCTGCATAACACTGATTTAGGGAGGGCTGAACATAGACGTTAAACATATATTAATAATAGGATATGAGGTCGAGAATAAATTTATTTTTTCTCAATCGCGGAAAATAAAGTATATCAATTACGATAACAGAAAAAAAAATCTGGGCAGATCGCTCGAAGCATTGTGTTAGCTCTGAATTGATAAGTCAGCTTTTCCGATTTGTGCATGTTGGTTTCAAGGTTGAGACCATCAACCTATTCATGAGCAATATAACATCACCAGGACGAGATAAAATGATTTGTAAAAGTGTTTCAACGGTAACAATTGCACAATCGATGCAACAGCTCAGCTCTCAACGTGCAAAAATTTCAGTTACATGTTCTAAACGACGAAATCAGAAAGAAGGTAAGATGAAAAAAGAAAAAAGAAACACAAAAACAAAAAAATAACAACTCTAAGCAGAGTGCTAAACATGAATGTAGTTTTTTCACAGATCATAAGAGCATCATTCAAGCTCAGGCTGCAATCACACAATCCACTGCAAACCAGAAGCTATATGTTCCAAAAATACGAGCAATTTTAGATCTACTGAACTTGACCCTAATTAAATGATTGCTTCAGACAGCAGCTACCAGAACCTCCGAAATTCATAGTTAACCTTGACCAGCATCCACTTGACGAAACTATACCGTTGATCCATAACGTGTCGAGTTCCACTATTACCTGACATTCTGAATAATGCTTCATCAGCAGCAGGTACAACAGTCTATTCGTCAAGCCAAACCGTTCCTCAATAATATCGTGGACTGAATACACGCTAAAGTGAGCAAATGAACGAGATGAAGTACCTAAGAGTAAACAGCCTGGATCTCCAATCTAAGATTAATGGCGTGGCTAACTCACGTGATGATGTGAGCCATACACCGTGTACACGAAACTGTGCTATCTTATCCAAAAACTCGTCCGTCTTCTGCTCATACTGGCGCCGATCAACATGCACAGAGCCAACCGATCAATGGCGGAGAAGGCATTATCAAAGCAATATAACTCTGCATGAGGACCAACTCAGGGGTCCCATGCTCTTCCTTGCATTTGTTGACCTTGATATTGAAATAAAGATCAGAGACCTAAGCGGCGTACGAACATGACCAAGGAAAACGTCAAAATTCTTCAGAATTTCAATTATTCTCCACTTAAATGGATCCACTTGCCAAAATTACAGTAGACGATCATCTGTTACCAGAATCTCTACCAAAGATCCACTTCACACAACCTCCGCACCTTAATCACCTAGTTGGTCCCTCTTTGACTATAACCAACGCACGGCGGCAAGCTGCGTTTTCATCCAACAAAGCCCAATCCTCGACTCTCAACCTCAAGAGACCGACATACAATCCGACTAGTATCTACTTCAAAAAATATCTGTAGCAGCTCATGCAATTAGAGAAAATGCAACAAGTGGCTGATCACACCGGAAGCGTCACCACAATGTCCTTCCTCAGAAATGCCAACGCACGTTTCTTGGCAGAATTCGAATCTACTCGTAATTGCTGACAGTAATGTCATCGATTATGACACAGATGCAACAAAAGAATCTAAACTGTCTTCGCTGCCATGAATCGGGAGGAAATCTAGAAACGTACTGGTTCCGCCGCTGTTTCGTTCGCCTACAGTAGAGGTCTCTGCTCTGATCAAGGAAGGGCGGCACCCCCACGGAAGGAAAAAGGCGGTGCTTCAGTCAGAGTGTGATACCCATAGGCAGCTGGTGGTGTGATTTGGGCAGGTTGCTTCCGATGTGATCTGCCCGCACTTTTTTGGTCCTTTTCTTTGACCTATTCATACCCCAGGAAAAAAAACACCAACACGTGACCGAACAAACCAATCAACGCCCGAACACCATTTGGAACTCTAGTCTGACGTGGAAGAGGAGCTTACATGCAAGGTCGACAACACCTCAAATGATGCAAGCCAACGTAAAGAATGTGGATCGTCCAAAAAAGGCTAAACTTTTTAAACTGATAACCTCGGCAGTGCAGGACAAAACTCTATGATCACTTTATCAAGTAGAGTGTTAAAATATTTAGTAATTTCCATCCGCATTGATATAGATATTTATTTTCTAAGCTAATTAAGGTGGAGTCTTCTTAAAAATTAAAATTAAAATTGTTGAGTGCATTGACCATTACTAAGCCTGAATTTGTATACCTTTTTCTCCTTCTACCTAATCTTCTGTTCGAAATCCTTAATTAGGTTATCCTTTCACAAATCTTAATGGCAATAGAGATAATTATAAATATATATATATATATATATATGAATTAGTGCACACAAATAGAAAGAGACAGTGCTGTGGAAAGACAAAAACTGAAATGTAGGGGTTGAGTGGATTCCCAAGTTGTCTGGAAGAGGAGACCGTGCACACATGGGAACGAGGTCAAGGGAACGACGTACTAGGACTGTTGAGGAAGCAGCGGGCAATGGGGGATTTTATCAATCGTTAACCGACATAGGTAGACCATCCATACCAAAACAGAGTGGTGGTGCCTCAATTGATTTCATGAACGAATGATATGGCTGACACGTGGCATTCAGTGGGAGAGTCTGATTGAAACCCACGCAGATATTTTAGAACAGCCAGGGAGGGGGTAAAGTAAAGGCTATTCTTGTCAATGACGACGGAGTGCAGGCAGCGAGGGACCTACCATACCCATGCCCACGACTGAAGACTGTCTCTACCTGGCCGGGCTATCTTATGCCCATATTACTCCATTGCCACTTCTGTGACATAGGATCTCATAGTCTCCCCATCGATGGTCGAAATCTGCCAGTGCAACAGACGCCGTAGTTGGATATTTACTGCACCGCTCCTTTGTCTTAGCCCATGCTATCCTTCCGTAGTCGCCCAGACTTTGCCAGTTTAATTGTTCCATATTCGCTTTGCTCCAGGTGACTTGGTTAAACACTTTGTCGTTCCTAGCGAGCCAAAGGTTCCATAGTGTGATGCCTCGTAAGAGGAGCCATAATTTACCCACGACAGCCAGATGTTTTCGAAGATATAAAAATACCCATGCAAACAAATGGATCTGCCACAACCTTCACCTTTACTATTTAATCCAACCCATGTGCAGAGAGTATATCAAATAAATAGAATGTTTCATTCAATATGTAGTGCATAAATATCACAAAACATGATTCGTGCCTCTTCTAATCTTTAACAAGAAAAATGTGTGTATCAATGATCAAGAAACAAAACCTATCACAATAACAAATAATTTATCTTCAAACATATGAAATGCTTCTTTGGTATTCATGTTAATCAAACTTGTCAAAATTATAATAAAAGATAAGGAAGAAGAAAAAAAGACACTTACATGAATGATAGCACAATAATCAGTTACATAATCAGTTTTGGAAGTTGTAAGGTCGAAATTAGCAAATTAAGACATTAAGGTAACAGATATAATTTAATTTAAAAATTTTACTAATTGTAATGCCACTTATTGTAACAATATTTTCAACAAATATAAACTATTGAAGATTTTTGTATATTTTTATGTGAAATTTGTTGCTTTTAATTCCATTTATTTTTTTTCAAAAAAATAATGCAAATTCATGTACTTAAATTATTATTATATTAAAAGAGAAAAAAAAAAGAAAAAAAGAAAAAAAAGAAAAAAAGAAAAAAAAAGAAAAAATCATTGTAATACATGCATTTCTATTACTTTCTCTTAAAGAAAGTTCCATAGAAAGCTTGTTTTCAAAGGTAAGGGATGTGACATCTATGTAGGCCTATGCTTTGTAATTTCCAAATTAAATTCACATTCTAAAGTTAGATCCAATTTCCATGATCAATGATTGTAGATTATTTCTAAAAGAATGACCAATGACATGAAATTAGAAGGATTGTGTAGAATATATATTTTTAAGAAGTATCTTCAAATGCTTCAAGGAAGTATTAAGACATATTAAAAATGATCTTGAGTTTGTCTTTTCATTGATTTCAATTTTGAACATCAATATGTGTTAGGTTTTAGTATAGAGATTCATACCTTTTATAATATCTACTTTTTGAAACTAACAATGTCTTATCAAGTCTTCCAATTTTCAAGTAATTCTCCATTGCTCTTTGGTATTTTGTTAATATGACTCTTTCTAAGCAAAAAGCCTCTCAAGAACTCTTCACTTCTTTTTACATCTAAAATTGAGATTTTATTTAATAAGAGAGATCCAATTCTATTATAGTAACTAGAACTAAGGCACTTCTACATACAATTTTCACAACATTTACAATCAATAGAAGCCAAATTAAAGGTGTGCAAAGTTTGATGCCAATAGCAATTTGACTTTGAAATAGGTGTCATCAAGTCTTTTTTGAATACTCTATTTTAAAATACTACAATAACATATTGTATGTTTTGAAGACAAGTAATAATAAGCAAAGATATTCAATAATCTTTTTGAGTTGATCTATATAAGTATCTTTCTTTTTATCTTTAAAAAAAATATGATTTTAATTAAAATAAGAAATTGTATCTATTAATTCTACATTGATTGAGTGTTAGGAATTTGTAGCTTTTTACTTTGAAGTAGTATAGAATCTCAACTTTGCTAAAGCAAGATCCTCTTTCTCTTCACTTTTAGCTAATAAAATTGATAGACTGTTAATCCTATGGAACTTAAATATCAAGCCTTCTCCACTCTAAAGTTGTATAAGCTTTAGATGTTGCTAAAAGAAGGTCTTCGTATTGTCCACTTTTAGCCAATGAAATTGATAGGATCTCTTTGTATACTTCATCCAATATTGATTAATAAGTATCTAGCTATTTTGGCCTTTTATACTTTTAATTCGCTTCCAACAAGCATAAATTATTGAATAAATGCAAAACTTAAGCTTCAACATAGAATGCTATCAATAACCTTGATTTTTTAATTTTTAATCTTAAAACATGGAATACAATTGGGTTGAGTTCAAATTTTGATCTTTGATCAAATGTTTGTCAAATCTGGGGGTAAATCATGACATCCTTGGATCTTTGGCTTCTCCTCAAATAAGATAAATATTCCAGCATCTAATACAAATCCTTTCACAATCCGAAAAAAGGCTTATTTTTATTATTTCTTACATTTAATCACAATCATTCATCTTCCACAATTACTTCTTCAATCTCTCTCTCTTGATGTATATTCTAGAAATAAGATTTAGTAAAAATATCAAACAACTAAACTTTTACATAAATATGGGATCATAGATTATAAATAGAATAATAATCAAATTACTAATTTAAAATAATAAAAAAAGACACAATGATATCTTCACAAGACCACTAAACACCTCACTTCTCACACCTTAAGAAGTATAGATTATTCTTTTTATGCTTCTATATAGGAGCTATATCTATACTTATAATAATTTTATAATAATTAACTTCTTTTTTTGTAGCATTGATGTGAATGACCTAACTTAAGATTGATGTTTAAAATGATTTTGAAGTTGATATTTAGAACAATGTTTAAGATGGATTGAGGTCAATTATTTTGTTGAGGTCATGACTTCTTTTTTAGGAATTAAACTTAAAATCTATGTAAGTTGTCTAAATTCTTTATTCTCTTCTTCATGTCTTTATATATCTTGTATCATTCTATTCATGCTATGTAAGTCTTTTTTAAAGATAAAATAGACCATTGATGGAGTTTGTTTTAACTTGCACTTGATGAAATTTGACTTGTGGTCATTTATTTCCTTCTGAATTCTATGGTCTTGTATCCAAATCTTCTTCAATCTTGAATCAAGAACTTAATTCTCTTCATTAATTCTTTCTTATGTCATTCTATGCGTTAAGATTTAAGACTTATTTATGCACAAAAAAAATAGAAAAAAAGACATAATAAAAAAATAATTATAATTTTTATTGTTATATATATATAAAATCTCAAATTTAGATGAATTAGTGTATTAAATCCTAAATGAATAAAAAATAACTATTACTTGTAGAAAGGTAGTACCTTGTAGGAATTATTGTATAAAATTTTAGAATAATTATATTTGTTAATTTCTTATTATCTTTATTGTAATCAATTATTTTATTATTTAAAAATAATATCAAATGTGAATAATTGAGGTTTTATAAGTATTATTGAGATTACATTTAAGATTCTTAAATCTGTAGTTGAGAAAATATTTTATTTTTTATATAGGTAGATTTTTAAAAAATAAAAATATTTTTAAATTTAATATAGTTGAAAAGAGGATAAACAATGTTGTAGCTAAAAGTAGTGTTATACCAAAGAAGTTGGTAATACAATAAAAGACAATGGAGGTGAAGGTTATTAATTTAGATTTTTGAATTTTTTTGAGGTCTTGATGTCAATGATAATGATCTATATTCCTAGGAAGGTGGTGCTGTTGAAAGAGGTCTAGTGGTTTGTTGTTGAAAGAGGTCCGGTGGTTTGTTGTTGCTATCTCTTAATTTTTTTTGGTTTAGATCTCTAGAACTTAAAATTTTGTAGGCATTATAATTGAAGTATTATATATATACATATTCATTCCAATAAATATTTGAATAATATGAATATGTAACAATAATTAGAAGTAGATAAATTTGACCATATCTTTTAAATTTTTTTTTTGGAATATTCATAGATACAAATTTTACTTTAAACATGTTTGTAAGTAATAAGTAGGTTGAAAACTTGGCCAAGAAATTGGCCACAAGTTGCACATATTATACATATATAATAGACTTGCCTTGTAGATTAGATATGTATCTTGCAAGTTAGACACATGTTAGA